TGTGTTGTTATCCCTAATTTGCTTCCATTAAGGGTATACATTGCTTGTGCATTCGTTATGTGCATAACTTTGCATTTTTCAACATTAAATTTCATCTGCCAGTTGAGTCCCCAATCTAAATCCCTCTGCAGCAAGGTAATATCTTGCTCACATTGTATTACTTTACAGAGTTTTGAGTAATCTGCAAACACTGAAACATGACTTTCAATGCTTTTTTTCAAGATCATTTATAAATATGTTAAATAGAAGGGGTCCCAGAACAGAACCCTGAGGGACACACTTGCCACCTCTGTCCAGCTTGAAAATTTACCATTAATGACAACTCTTTGTACTCTATCTTTAAGCCAATGTTCTACCCAAGAATAAGCATTTTCATCTGGACCGATTTCTTTGAGTTTGAACACTAATCTATTTTGTGGAACTGTATCAAATGCCTTCTCAAAATCCAAATAGATCACATCCACTGCAACAAACTGATCTATACTTCTACTTACTTCTTTGTAGAATGCAATCAAGTTAATTTGACATGACCGGTGCTTCATAAAACCATGCTGATTTTTGCTGAATAACCATGTTCTTCTCAAGGAATGCTTGAATATTATCCCTTAATAACCTTTCAAATACTTTTCCAGCCACAGAAGTTAAGCTCACAGGTCTATAATTTCTACACTTAGTTCCTTAAAGGACCACTATAGTGCCAGGAAAACAAACTCGTTTTCCTGGCACTATAGTGTTAATAGGTCCCCCCCACACTCATGGCCTCCCCACCCCCCCCGCCGGGCTCTAGGGGGAGGAAGGGGTTAAAGGCTTACCTTTCTCCAGCGCTGGGCTCCCTTGGCGCTGGGGACTCTCCTTCCTCTTCCGCCGAATGCGCATGCGCAGCAAGAGCCGCGCACGCATTCAGACAATCCATAGCAAAGCATTGTCAATGCTTTCCTATGGACGCTGGTGTCTTCAATGAGACAGCCACTAGATGCTGGAATAACCGTAATGTAAACATAGCAGTTTCTTTGAAACTGCTATGTTTACAGCAGGCAGGGTTAACCCTAGATGGACCTGGCACCCAGACCACTTCATTGAGCTGAAGTGGTCTGGGTGCCTTTAGTGGTCCTTTAAGTACTCGTGGATGAATACCGTCAGGCCCTGGAGTTTTGTTTATATTAACTTTCTTTAGTTGCTGCAGCACCTTGTCTTGAGTTAACCAATCACAATTTTTCTGCCAGTTGTTAGCAGCAACCATTTGCATATCTAATACCATGGGTTCTTCCTTAATATGTATGTTGTATGTTTTATTAAATCATCTGGAGAGCCTGGAGTGGTAATGCTTCCTTCTCCAATTAATTTCATCTGCTCTTCTCTGGTCACATTACTGGTATATATTTTAAAAGTTTCTTATACTTACCTGCAAGGGTTACTCAATTTTAATTTTTTTTGTTTATTTTATTGATGCTCTTCTTGCTGAGGGATACTGTTCTCCAGAACCAGACAGTGATAAGTTACACTACTTATGGAAGGAGTTTGCTTATTTGCAATGTTTAGAATGCTACAACTATTTTTGAAGCCTGACAGAGTTAATTCAATCTCCTTTTTGCTTACTTCTGTAGTTGTCCACCAAATACTAAAAGAAAATAAGTGATTTGATCTTAGATTTTGCTCAGTACCTATTTCAGAAGTCCACCTTTACTCAGTTATCCATCATTCCCCTGCAGATCCAGTAGGTGGCTGTTGCAGAATTACATAGCAATCTAGGTTGGAAAAAAGACTAATGTCCATTAACCCCTTAAGGACTGAGTCAAATGTACACGTTGTGATCAAAACAAAGCGTAAATAAAATCTGGAATTTGCACTATATGTCTAATTCACCTCTTTCATATTATGTGTACCCACACGTATTATATATCATTTTATTCAGGGGAGACAGGGCTTTCATTTAACATCAAATATTTAGGTATGAAACAATTTTATATGAATAAAATATAAAAAAAAAATGGGTGAAAATAAGAATTTTTTTAATAAATGTTTAGTTCTATGTGACATTTTAACTGTGAATGTCATAATACTGTTTGCTTTTACTGCAATAAAATACACATATTTGTATTCAGCGATGTCTCGTGTAAAACAGCACCCCCTATGTACAGGTTTTATGGTGGTTTGGGAAGTTACAGGGTCGGATATACCATGTTACATTTTTCAGTGTTTTCACATTGAGATTCACCAGATTGGTTACATTGCCTTTGAGACCATATGGTAGCCCAGAAATGAGAATTACCCCCATGATGGCATACCATTTGCAATAGTAAACAACCCAAGGTATTGCAAATGTGATCTGTCCAGTCTTTTTTAGTAGTTAGTGTTAGTGTTAATTTGTTTGTGTGTGTGTGAAGAATGCAAAAAAAACGAATTTGAATGCCAATTTTGGCCAGTGTTTGTGACTAAGTGGCTACTGAAAAAGACTCGACATACCCCATTTGCAATACCTTGGGTTGTCTACTATTGCAAATGGTATGCCATCAGGTCCCTGCCATTCGGTCTCAAAGGCAACGTAACCAATCTGGCGAATTTCAATATAAAAAAAACAGGAACGCAAGCCTTATATTTGACTCTGTAATTTCTTAAACCGTTCCAAAGCTTCTTCGTATTGATCTCCCGAAATGAAATAACCGCTGCCACTAAAACTTTGGAACTTTTTTGGGCAGACCCCTCATGAGCAGTCGGTCAAAACTGGGGCAATTTGACTATATTTGTGGGATCTGAGCTTTTTTTAGACAACTTGGGCGCTTAGATCCAGGAGATTATGGGAGATACTTGTGGGGATTCCTATATGCTTATATATTTTTATGTGTTTTAATATTTGTCATTTATGCCAAGTCATGCTGAAACTGTAATTTGTAACCATTTTGTGGGAGTGTTCTGGGCGTATTTTCCACTCTCCTGATTTTGTATATAAATGGGCCAGATTAGACACATTCGTTTCTACCCTTCATCAAGTCTAGCTGATGTTTGGGGAACTTGGACTATAATCGCTATTGTGCTTGGGACGATGGAGACTTAGAACGGATATACTGAGGCAGAGTATAGGGGAACCGTTACACCTCCCAAGCGTCATGTATCTGGTGGAGGTGGTGCTGGAGGGAAGCTCATAGGATATAGCTATCAGAAACCCTATGCTAATCTCTCTAAGCTTTTATGTTTCAAATATATCCATACCCCTAACATCAGTGTCTGGTGAAGCAGGATTTCAGTGGGTGGGGTAAAAGGGTGGGTCACTCATGCAAATCATTTAACCTGAACTGTCCAAAGGGACGAATAGGTCCAAAAAGAGTGTGTATATGCCAAAATAATTGGAAGGCCAGTCTGGCATGAACGCATGTCATGCTCCCTGTCAATCATGCATGCTGGCCAACTAAGGATATACATTGCAGATAGCACCGAGCATGGCGTAAATGCATCTAGCAATGCGCTTGCTCTACTCGTTCTAAGGACTGTCCCCTAGCACTCACTTGTCCACTCCTCTCCTTACTAGCAAGCAGAAACTCCTGGTATGTAGTCTAGGACAGAGGACATATGTAGTGAGTGTAAAAGAAAGGGAACATGCCACAGTGTTAGAGACCAAAGCAACAAGAGCATGTGCGCAAAGTCAGCTTTACCTTAACTAATTTCATAGTCAACCATTCCACACAAGTTTTGTTCCTCTATATCCCTCTTAAGTTTCCATACCAAAAAAATAAATGACATGCTCTAGCTTAATTCAACGGGCCTGGAACTGCAGCTCCATCATCCCCTATGTTAATTCAGCCCAGTTCTTTCACGTGTCTATCAGGGAATGTCTACACTAGTGGTAGGCAACCTTCAGCACTCTAACTGTTGTGGGCTACATCCCACATAATGCTAGCAAATAATGGGATGTGTAGTCCAAAACATCTGCAGTGGCAAAAGTTACCTATGCCACTACACCATGTAAGAAACCAGACCTCTGAGGAAATCTTAGAACTCTACCTATATTTCAATTTTATCTATCCTATCATACTCCATTTAATGTAACATTTTTATATTTGTCACAACCCATTCTCATAAAAACTGCAGTTACAAATTATGCTGGTGCAGTGGAGCTGGAATCCCAGGAGGCTCTGGGACTGAGATAATGGAGCTCTAAACTAGAAAACTAAATTCTCCCCGTTAGTAGTTTGTGTAGCTGATCAGGAAAGTGTACAGGCAGCAGTACTAGTTTCACTGGGGTTTGTGAGATTGTGTAACCAAAAGTAGTTCCACGCGATTGATAACCAAGTACACTTGCCTTGCCTGTGTTTAGAGACAAAATTGACCACGGTTATACGAATGTCAGCCACCCATGGAAAGCATTCAATTTAAACCTTTAATTGCAGTTAACAGCCAGAGGGTGGTCACTGTTCTGAGTGAATAAAGAGAGGGACCATAGAAATTTTTCGGCAAAACTAAAGTATAGGTTTGGGTAAGCACAGGGAATGGTATTAGGTCCGCCACAGCCAGTTTTGCCTTTATTTCAGCATTATACACATAGGAGCGCCCCTTCAACGATTACAATGTTGAAAAGGAACCACAATGAGCTTTCCCAGAAACAAATCTTAATGGGCTGAACACCATTTTAGCCAATTAACACCTCCTCAGAGATTCATTGAATCAATGCATCTCTGGAAAATTAAGCATCCCCATGCAGAGTGTGTAGACAGAACTGCAGCACTACCATGGAAGCACCTCTAGTGGCGGCCACTTGGAGGTGTGCCTAAGGGGCAATTTAAACATTGCCTTTTCTCTGAAAAGAAAAAGGCTTGCATAAAAATGACTGAAGGCAATATTACTCACCAGAACTACATAATGTAGTCTTTTACCTACACAAAGGAGAGTGTTGCATTCTACCTGAATGCTAACTGAAGATTCAGTAATTTTTCTCCTTCTAGAAACCAAAAAAAACTTTTCAAATTAAGAACACAAGACATTTGTAAGACTATCTTTTATTTAGATGTTTATTTCTTCAACTTGAAATACTCTTCAATGACATCCTTTGCTTGAGACTCTTTGCCATAGTCCTAAAATAAAAATAAATTTTGCATTAGGTTCGTTACTGCTAGAGTTTGTGTCCAAGCATGACTACTACCGCATATTAAAGATGGCATGATGGAAATAGTCGGATTGCTACCCGCTGGGACTTTGTAACCCAGAGCCTAGACTATTGTGCTGCTGAGATATTGCATTTAAGTCTATCATTGCAATTCTTGTTTTGACTAATTTCATTAATATCAACAATCACATTATGCAACTACCTAAATAACTTTTGCGGTTTAAAGCAGGGCTGTTCAACCTGCGCCCCCCAGATGTTGCTGAACTACAACTCACATAATTCCATGGCTGTTTCATTGAAAGAATCATGGGAGTTGTAGTCCAGCAACATCTGTGTGCCGCAGGTTGGACAGCCCTGGTTTAAAGGACCACTATAGGCACCCAGACCACTTCAACTTAATGAAGTGGTCTGGGTGCCAGGTCCAGCTAGGATTAACCTTTTCTTCTATAAACATTACGGTTTCAAAGAAACTGCTATGTTTACATATGGGTTAATCCAGCCTCTAGTGCTTGTCTCATTGACATCCGCTTCCATGCATCTCACTGATTTTCATGCCGCGCATGCAGCCGACGGTGATATGGAGGAGGACAGTTCCCTGCCCAGCGCTGGAGAAAGGTACATTTAACCCCTTCCACACCCTAGAGCCCGGCGGTATGTTTTCCTGGCACTATAGTGGTCCTTTAAAGTTTGGAAAGCAGTACCAAAAGACTTCATGCACAAGTAAAAATCGGTAGTAGTTATTGTGCCATAGTTGTGTTCTAAGTACAAATTAGGTAGTGTGCACTACGTTGTAGGCATTTAAAGCAGGTTCTGGTTTTCATGCTGTTCACAATAAAGCTCACCAACACTATCCAAAGTGCTATGGGATTACATCCACTCTATTTCAATTAATGGAAAAAAAAAAAAAAAGTGTTATACCAAGCACCATGATGACTTTAGTGATTTGAAATGGTCATGCTCTCTGGCATTAGTATGTGCAGTGTTTAATCAGTTTGCTTCTAGAGGTGTAACCACCTCTGGCAGAGATGTGGTGTGTCAGCCAGCCCAGCTATTGCCAATTAAGGGCAAATTTCAATACGGACTCATTTAGGAGCCAATAACAGTCAGTCGACTGAGCCAATGAGTGGCAAAGATTGACCGTTTCTGAACCTCTGGATGTCATCCCATAGAGATTTGTCCCTTGGCAGGATAAGGAAGGAGGACCAGCACCATCAACAGTGCCAAGATCTTGTTAGCATAACCACTACAGCAGGCTGTAGTTATGGTGGTAGAAATAACTACTTTGGTACTTTTACACAACAGTAAGTATGAACACATTTACAATGTAGCCATTATCAAGGACCTTAATAGACACATGAAGTCATTAAGGCTCGTGTGATGGTAGTTACTATTGCCACTAGGTTTGAGCAAGGTCTGCAAGACACTTAGTCCAACAGATGCTCATTAATGGCACACCCCAAACCCTGCAAATTCTTACCTTTACAACTACACAACTGCAACCAACAACCTTGCGAGGTTTTCCTTCCCTGTCAATCTTGCAGAGACCAACCCATTCTCCAAGTTTTTTACTGTCATCAACCTAGAAACAAAATGTTTTCTGTAATTCGGCATTAAAACAGGTTTGTTTTTGGACAACTGTCTGTAGAGTCAGAAACTTGGGTAACTTGTAGGCATTTCTCCACGTAATATTCAGTAGAGGGAGCCAAGTTTTCATCATATACAGCACAATATTAGTTTGTAAATACTTTTAATGTGTAATCACTGTAGATCAAGCTAATTTAACTGAAACACAGGAAAATTCACAATGAAGTCTATCCAATATTGTCAATGATTACTGTTTTTTTTCTGACTTACATGGTAAGACATCTCTGCACAGACTTCTATTTAATACCTTGCAACTTTGGCTGTGTGAGAATGTAGTCTTATGTCTATTAATATGGCTATTAATTCCAGCAAAAAAGACCCTTTTCACGTACCTTAATAAGATTGATCTGGTGTTCAGCACAAAGTGCCTCTACCAACTTCACATACATTGGTTCATTGCAGTTGGAAGCCAGGACACAGAGATGGGCTTGGCGCCTAAGACAAAGCAAGCCAATCAATATATGCACAAAATGACAAAAGTTGTAACATTTTACATACGGTACATTAATAGTTCACAGTAATCCATTCACCTACAGGCTTGTCAGATCTGTTTTATCACTCATGAGGGAGTGAAGGGGATTCCGACTTAAACAAAATCATCACTCAAGCATTGTAGTTGGGCCATATTCTAACCAAGTTATAGTTAACTATTGCACTGAATGATGCACAGGAGTATAGAAAAGCTGTGCAAGTCCACCCTTTAAACACCATGTAATTGCGCTCTGAGATATTTCCATGCTACCATAATTGATCCTCAAATTGTATTAAGCACTAGTTAAAAATTAAAGGGACACTCCAGGCACCCAGACCACTTATGCCCATTGGAGTGGTCTGGGTGCCAACTCCCACAACCCTTAACCCCGCAAGTGTAATTATTGTAGTTTTCATAAACTGCAATATTTACCTTGCAGGGTTATGTCCTCTAGTGGCCGTCTAGTAGACTTCCATGTTCATAGAAAACGAAAAGTGGGTTAAGACGCTGAACGTCCTCCCGCGTCGCCGAAATCCCCATAGGAAAGCATTGTAAAATGCTTTCCTATGGGGAGGTGTAATGTGCATGTGCGGCCATTGCCGTGCATTATGTCTCCCTTGCCCGCGCATTATGTCTCCCCGCCGGCTGATGTTGGCGGGAAGGAGTGTAGGCTGAGCCAGACCTAGCGCCATCGGCACTGGACTCCAGTAAGTCACTAAAGGGGTTTTAACCCCTTTAGCAACTTGGGATGGAGGGTGTGGGGTAGAGGGGCACTAGAGGGTCCTGCAGTGCCAGGAAAACATGCCAGTGCCAAAACCCCTTTAAGTGAAGCTTCACCTGTAAATGGTGCTCTCAGAATTTATGTATATAGACTAGGATGAATATAGTCTTTAAAAAGATGGTTCACTTCACCACTTCAATTCTTTAACATTTAGCCTTTTTAGAGCCCCTTGCATAACTACAGATGACAGGGAAATCCACAGCACATGTGCTGACTGCCATTCCCCAGCTAGCACTTCTACAGTATACCTAACAACTCAGCATTATGAAATATTAAAGACCAAATACCCAGACCACTTCAGCTCATTGAAGAGGCCTAAGCGCAGTGTCCCTGTACCCTTAACCATGCAATGGTAATTATTGCAGTTATTGATAAACTGCAGTAATTACCTTGCAGGATTAACTCCACCTTTGGAGTCAGTCTAGCAGACGGCCACAAAATGCACTTCCGCATCCTTAGACTTTGTCCACTAAACGAGGCTGATCTCACGCTTTGCATGAGGACATCATGTTATGTAGAACTCTATAGGAAAGTACTGATTTAATGCTTTCCTATGGGGTAGTCTTAAAGTGATAGCTGTGCTCGCCGTGTATGCACATCCTCTAAGATGCCAAAGACAAATGAAATCGACTGCACATCTTTTACCAAGCCGCAACAGTTATGATTATAGATATCAGAAAAGGGATTCCTTCTGCAGAGTTTAATTTTGGGGATATATGAACTGTCTACTGCCAAGAACAGATGTATAAGAATACTTCCCATAAATGATACTGAACCAAAGCTTCAGACAGTGAATGTCAATAGAAGACATGGCTTCTTCAATAAACTAGAACAGGGATAGGCAACCTTTGGAAAACTAGATGTTGTGGACTACAACTACCCTGACGCTTTGTCACCATTATGGGAGATTTAGTTCAAAACATCTGGAGTGCCGAAGGTTGCCTACCGCTGAACTAAAACATTAAGGAAATGGCCACACAAGACTGGTTTGAGAGCTGCTAGATAGCAGGTTCTATTTAGCTATTTAAGCAGCTTTATTATTTACAGATTAACACATTAAGGTAACTTTTAGTCTACAAAGAAACACTGTAGTTTGAGACAGTTTTTGCTTAAAGGAACAGTATAGGCACCCAGACTACGTCATCTCAAAGTGAAGGTGCACTGATCCTGTCCCCTTAACCCTGCCTCTGAAAACATTGCAGTTTTAGAGAAACTATTTACTGCGTTGTTAAAAGACCATCTCCAAAGATAAAAGTTTTTGGCATCTGCAGGTCATCCAGTATCATCTAATACCAATAGGAAGACATTAGTTCAATGCTTTCCTATGGAGAAGGATTAAAGTGCGTGGTGTTCGAAATGCATGCACTTAAGGCTCACCATCACAATTATTTCACAGAAGGCTAAGAGAGCAGGGGAACATCTACGCTTCAACAAGATGCATTTTTAAAGGCTTAACCGTTTGAGTGCTGTGGGGGAGGTGTATAGGAACACTTTATTTGGAACAAAGCTTTGTATTATTAACGCTAGTGTTCCTTTAATCCTCAGGAAATTGACTTCACATTATATGAAGTTGTACTGCCAAAGCAGCTAGTGTTCTAAAGACAATACAGAGGCATGGTTTGAACACAATAAAATATCAATATGGTAGTGAAAAGTCAAATTACTTGTCAAGAGCCTTGGCAGCTTCACGGATTCCACGAGCTAGACCATCATGGATGAGTGCGGTCTTGAGCACTTCCTGAAGAGCGGTGTTGATATCCATTCCACCTCCAGCAGAAATGCTAAAAAAATATAAAAATAAATAAAAACCCACACAAGATTAGCACAAACAGCCATAAAGTCATCCAGACAGTGGGTTGCTACAGGCTTGTCAGATTCACATTTTCTCTCAGTCGAGAGAAGGGGATTCCGACTTAATTGTGAAATCATCATTCAAACTCTGCAGCATTTACACATTTAAAATGACTGTAGTACAGATGAACCAGTTTAGAACACTTATGAAAACTGTATAACACTAGGCAACATTGACAGGAATACAGGAATCTCCATACACCTTAAATAAAACACTGGTACAAAATACTTCCAACACTATGGGTTAGAATAGCATAAAAAGATATTTTAAAGCTAGTTTACATAGGCAAAGCATAAGTTTACCGAAAAGCTACAATAACTCGTTTCCTGTCAAACTCTATTCTAGCTGGAGTTGAAAAGCATGTAAGCAGGTATGTCGGTGCTACACAGCATAAGGCAAGGAATAACCAATTTTACAGCCTGTTCAGAGGCAGATCTCCGGCTTTTAATAAAAGTTCTATCAGTAGAACATACAGGAACACAAAGCCCAGGCCCACACACTCACCCTTCCTCGGCCATTGTTGGATTACGAATGGATGTTTGGGGTCAGTTCGCTGAAATACAGACACAAACGAAAAGCGTTACATTTGCCCTTTCTTCTGCCGCTTCCCCCATGTTCAAGCAGGGCGAGATGCCCGAGATAGACAGTGGATTACACAGTCCCCATGGCAGCCATTCCTACACGCCATGACTTACCCGACCTATTGCATCGGTAGGGAAAGGAAGGAGCGTTGATGACGTCACGTATTTATACTCACGGAGGAAAGGCTCCCCCTTCAGCTGCGTAAGGGAAGAGGAATAACCAGAAACGTAACGATATCCGCCATATTTGATAAGGGCATGAAGTGTACCATAGTAGAATAAAACATTTTTTAAATGAGTTACATGACGGCAAGTGTAGTTGTTGCCTTATTTTAAAGCAGCTGCATTTGATACGAGCTCGGCTGTTTTTTGTGTTTTTTTTTTTTTTTAACAAATCTTTATTAACATTGCGATGTGAGTAAAGAAAGCGGCATCATAAAATGTCCTGCCTAGCACTTTTGTTTTTTCCACATGCAGTATATTCTGTAAATACAAATGACATTAGAGTACACGCAAATAAAATATTGTGTGCTCTGAGTATACAACAAAACAAACGTGTGCATTTTCTGTAGTCAAGTATATGCCCAAGCATATATGTTCTCATAGTCTATATTTTTGTCCACCTAAGCATAACCTTGCAAGTTTAACTGTTTTTTTTTTTTATAAGTTTTATTTTTTTTGTTTGATTCTTTTTATTGATTTTTTTTCATGAAAATATTAATAGACAGAGACAACACACATGGGAGGGAACCTTACAGAGAAAAAAAAATAAGGATTCCCATCCCCATAAAAAAACATAAATACAATGTTCAATTTCAAATTTCATCAGTAAACCGTCTAGGACACAGTCTGGTAACATTAACATCCCATCGCCTGTGTATCGTGGTCCAAAAACGGCTTATACGTAACCTTATAAATATATTAAACAAAAACACAGACGAAACTGGTCATATGTGTTGCAGATCCAAAAACAGACTTAAAGGAAAAAAAAAAAAAACAATATAAGGCCGTGGAGACTGATGGTAGAACCCCCAATGAAGACAACATATCAACCGTAAGGGAAACGTACACAATAGCCCACCAGATCATATACCTTAAAGCCTCTTAATATTTTGGACAAGACTAGAATAGAACGACAAAGCTTTAGGATTAAAATATTCTCTCATAGACAATAATCCCTTTTCCATCTCGACTTGGAATAAAAGTTGTGCTTTAACTTGATCTCTCGTAGGGATGTCAATACTTTTCCAAAATCTAGCAATTAATATTTTAGTAGCCATTAAGCAGTGAATAATCACAATGTCAAAATTATCCTTTATTTCTGAGCCGAAAAGATGGAGTAGAGCGATTTCCGGTTTAAATTCCAAATAGGAACCTCCCAATCTATTTATAAATTCATATGTAATCATCCAGAGAGATTTAATTCGAAGGCAGGACCACCATATATGGACCATTGAGCCATCGAGATGAAAACATCGCCAGCAATTAGACGGGTTAGTAATAGAAATTTTAGCAAGTCTAATAGGGACCAGATACCATCTAAAAAACACCTTAATAAAGGTCTCTAAAATATTCAAACAGTGGATAATTTTTTTAGTCCTTACAAAAGATTTACACCAACTATTAAATGGAATAGAAATTGCTAGATCTGTTTCCCATTTAGTTAAAGCTTTAGGGGTGAGAGGAGTCCCTATCATCTTTATTAATTCAACTGCAATAGAGAAAACCCTTTTAACAAGATCCCCCGAAAAAAGTTTCCTGAACAATATACCAAGTCGGCCTTCTAAAGCCAATATATTATCTTTCAAATAGCTCTTAATACGAAGGAAATTAAATAGTTCTCTAGGGGGTAAATCCAACCAATTTTTCAAAACCTCAAAACTTTTCAATTGGTGATCCAAATAGAGATCTTTTATCTTATAATTAAAGTCTTTATACCAATTTGTCAGGTTTATCTCTAGCATGAAACTTTCCAACGACTTCAAACTCAGATTCTCATATATTTTTCTGTTAATATTCAACTTCCTCTTTATAGTCGTCCATTCTTTTAATGTCTGTAATAAGGACAAAGGACAGTGAGAACCCATCTCACACAAATGCCTGTTCTGACTTGCCTCTCTCCATAAGAGAAATTCGAGGTTGTCTAAACCAAGTCTGGCTGCTTCAATTTTATACCAGGCTTGGTCTATAGAGTCGGTTAGCTGTAATTTGCTGGCATGAACTAATATATTAGCCTGATAAATTTGATTAACAAGGGGGTAGCCCAACCCCCCCTGGAAGGCCTTCCTTGATAGATGGTAAGTACTAATCCTTGGTCTCTTCCCTCTCCAGACATACGCTGTAATACTAGTTTGCAACATATTCAGCCAATAGCTCGAAATCGAGAGAGGGAGCATACTAAATAAGTATGCCCATTTAGGTATTATATAAGCTTTAATGGTGTTTATCCTACCCAACCAGGAAATTTCATGCACTCTCCATTCTTTTAATAACATATTGGTCTCTTTTAACAACTTCAAAAAATTAGTTTCCATAGTCCGACTTATCTCTGCCGTTATAGTTACCCCCAAGTATATAAACTCTTTTTTTGTCCAATTAAAATCAAAGTCTCTCTTTAGGGAAAATAGATTATCTTTGTGAATGTTAATCGACATGGCTATTGTTTTATTCGTATTCAATTTATAATTTGAAACACTACTATATTTATTAAATTCTTGCATTAAGTACGGAAGAGAAACCAGAGGGTCCGTAATGGAAATCAAAATATCGTCAGCATATAGACATATCTTCCATTCATCAGATTGAGTTCCTATGCCTTTAATCCCGGGATTTTGTCTAATATTGTTTGCTAGTGGTTCAATTGACAAGATATATAATAAAGGTGAAAGAGGACACCCCTGTCTCGTCCCATTTTTGATATTAAACCAATCTGAACATAAATCGCAGGCTACTATTCGAGCAGAAGGGTTTGAATATATAGCTCCCACCGCACTCAGGAACCATCCATCAAAACCGAACTGTATTAAAGTTTTATTCAAATACCCCCATCCGACCCTGTCGAAGGCCTTTTCTGCATCCACCGACAGGGTCAGAAGGGGGGTTCCCTCGACTTGAGCCCATTCTATAATATTTAGAACCCTACGAGTGTTATTAGAGGAATGTCTTCCCTGTATAAAGCCTATCTGGTCCCTGTGTATAAGTGATGGCATAACTATTTTCAAACGTTCCGCTAAGATTGCGGCATAAAGTTTCATATCAACATTAACCAGAGAGATAGGACGATAATTACTCACATCATCTGGACTTTTACCCTGTTTCAAAATTGGAGTAATATGAGCCCTTAATAGATCTTGAGATGCATTCCCTTTGGTTGCCAGTTCATTAAAGGTGTCAGTTAACAACGGAATTAATTGTCTCTTAAAAACCTTAAAAAACAAATTTGTGTACCCGTCGGGTCCAGGAGCTTTGCTATTAACAAGTTTATCTATTGCCAATTCCACTTCATGAGAAGATATATTTCGATTAATTTTCACCCTCTGGTCATTAGATAATTTAAGCAAATTAGAGTTTTTCAAATAGGTGTCCAACACATCTTGATCAGGAAATTTATTCAAATTATAAAGTTTTTGATAAAACCTTCTAAATCTACTAGCAATTTCTTCAGGCTTATAAAAGTAATCATTCCCTTCTCTTAGCTTAAATATCTTATGATCTGTCATCTATTTCTTTAATTTATTTGTTAGGACTGAGTCTACACGGTTATTCTTATAGTAATATTTGATATTTAACTTGTTTAAGTTCCGTTCCACCCTGTTTTTAATCTGTTCATTTATCTTTTCCTGGTAGAGTTTAATTGCTAAAGCTCTATCGTCAGAATAAACTTGTTTATTGGCTTTAGAGAGATTATAAAATTGGATGTAAAGATCCGACAAAATTTTATCTACATTTCTTTTTTGAAAACTTGAAAGTTTTATCCAATGTCCCCTTATGACTGCTTTACACGCGGACCATAGACATTCTTTAGATACCTCCTCAGATGAATTCTCCTTAATGAAGAAATCGATTGTCTTCTCTATATGTTCTACATTTGCTTTATTTTTTAGCAGATAATCTGCCAATTTCCAAATCTGAGGGGGTCGCTTGTTATTTTCCATCAGGTCTGCAATTACCATGTCATGGTCTGACCACGTGTTTTCAACGATAAAGATTGAAAAGATTGCCTGAACTGATTTTAAATTACCCAAAATCATATCTATCCGAGCAGCCGAATTATGGGGAATAGATCTGTGCGTAAAATTTCTTTCATTAGGGTGGAACAGTCTCCAACAATCGAACAGTTCTGCTTTCTTAATCACTCTACTTAACGATGCCGCTTGCCTTTTAAGAGATTTATCTATCCTCTGATTTTTAGCCAATTGTTTGTCCCAAGAGGTATCAAAGATACAATTGAAGTCACCTGCAAAAATAATTCTCCCTTTTTTAACCTGTTCTACCAAACCTAAAATTTTCGTCAGAGTTTTAATAGGATCTTGATTGGGTAAATAAACATTAACCAAAGTATAATCCAGCCCATTTAATTGACCCACCAGAATAATAAATCTCCCTTCCGGGTCTAAATAGTTATAACTACAATCAAAAATAACTTCTCTAGAGAAAATTATAGATACACCACATTTCTTTTTTCCTTTTAAAGAAGCGGAATAAATCACCGGATATTTTTTGAAGAACCATAATTTTCTAGCTTCCACTGACCAGTGAGTTTCCTGTATAAACCCTATTTGAATTTTCTGATTCACCAGGGTATTAAACAAAAATCCTCGTTTGTGAGGAGAATTAAGGCCTTGCGCATTGATAGACAAAATTCTAACCATCAGTTAATCTAGATTTTTTCTTAGGGCTCCTTGCCCACTTCTGCAACACATACGACCAGTTAAACATACTACACATCAGACAATACACCATTAAAACAATTAAGTCTACATAAACTGCTGGAATACCAAAAATAATATTCCACATACTGAGAATCTCTTAGACTCCCACAGGAATAAGCATGGGATCATAGAACTTCTTAGAACCAGAGAGAGAAAACAAAGTGGGAGGGGGAAGCGAGAGGAAAAAAATAAAAAATAAATTTTTTTTTCATAATTATCTAAATAATACCACATATCACGTAGATATCTAAATTAGAATGATCTATATTAAAATATAACACCCAATAGTGTCACAGATCTTCCCATTACCCAGTAAGGGTCAACGTGAATATACTTTCAACTTCCAAAGTGATTAAAAAGTGTATCTAAATAATTTATTGTTTACAGTAATATCAAAACCTATAATCACTTCGTGCCAATATTAAATACATCCCCAAATTGTACCAATATAGGGCATTATAGATTCCCTTTTATAAGTCAAAATTGTGAACACCCTAATAATCACTTAAATACTCGAAGGTGACATCAGTATTAATTATCCCCCTATTGCCCTCCCTTCCCAGCTTCCCGATTGTGCTCTATAATTCTTACACCACACCAAATAATTTCCCCAAATTGATCTTTTCCTTTTCTTTCTTCTCTCTTTTCCTTTATTATCCCTAATAAAACCAATGTGAATACACTCTAATTCTCCGTGAACAAACGAGTGTTTGTCTATAGATCATTACTCTAAATTTTACCGTTAGAAAACAGTTTTCACAATTGCTATTTTTTCATTTATATTCAATCTAGTGCACTTCAATATATCACTATCACCGTTTTACATTAAAATCTCAAAAAAAAAATAAAAAAAAAAATTTCCTCTCGTCTCCTCCACCTCCCTCGCCCTCCATCTTTTAGACGAGAACGTAAAGACATCTCTTCGCCCGTCAGAGTAATTACCTAAAACTACTTATCTATATTTTTTAACCAGACATGAGCCAAATCTGCTGATTTAAATGACTTCCAGATGTCGTTATAACAAATTAATAGAACTGATTGAGCAGTCCATTTGAACTTTAAATTACATTTCTTCAAACACGGAAAAACCGTTGAAAATGAAATTCTTCTTTGCCTCGTTACAAAGGATACATCTGTTAACACCTTTATTGCTATAAATTCCTCATCCTTTATCTTAGTTTTCCTCGCTGTCTGAAGAATTTGAGTCCTAAGATCGTATGAATCAAATGCTACAATTACATCACGTGGATACATTTGATCTCTCTTTCTATAGGAAAGACGATGATACCTAGACAGTTTGATTTCTTGTTGTGCTGTACGGACCCCCAAACAGTTAAAATATTTCAGCAAAAAATCATATAGTTGAGCGTCTAATATATCCTCCGGTATATTTCTGAACCTTAAATTCAGCCTTCTAGTTCTATCTTCCAGCTCACACGTTTTATCTTCCAATTCTTTCAGTTTCAATTCCATCTTAATTTGAGTGTCCTTTACTGCCTGGAGCTGAAACACAGTGTCTTCTTCCTTTTCTTCTAATTTATAAATACGTTCCTTTAATTCCACTAAATCCGTCTTTATATCAGAAAACTTATCACTTAAATCTTTTTTAATTTCTTTAGAAAGATCTTCCAGACATTTCTTTAAAAAAGAAGGAGTGACTACTTCTTTATCCGGAAGTTTGATGGGTGAAACAACAACCCCTGTTTGAAAAGATTCCATAGAGGATTGCTCCACCCCATCTTGAGAGTCTTGTGGAACAAAAAAAGCCGATAATCTTTTTTCTTGCTTTTGGCCTTTTTTATCAGCTTTTGTTGAGCCTTTACTCTCCTGTGCTTTTTTGGAAGACATATCGCTTTTATTATAAAATGCCACGGAGTTCACAGTGTTATAACGCCTTTTGGGTTGCGGTGCCACAATATTCGCAAAGTTATGACCGTCCTTTGATATAAGTTGCCACAGTGTTCACAGTGTTGAAACTACCTTTTGGCTTGAGATGCCGCAGTAATCACAAAATTATGTCTGCCTTGAAAAAAAAAAAAAAAAAAACACGGCACAGTATTCACAGTATTATAACGCCTTATAGTATAAGGTGGCACAGTATGCACTATATTATAGCTGCCCTTCAGTATTGAGTGTCACACTCTTCACCATAATGTATCTGCCTGTTGGTAAAAGGTGCCTTGGTATTCACAGTATTATAACTGCCTTGTGGTATGTGGCACCGCAGCATTCACAGTGTTATAACTGCCTTTTAATATAAGGAGCCACAGAATTTCCAGTGTTATAGGAGTCAATTAGTATAAGGTGCCACTATCTTCTCAATGTTTTTAGCGGCCTTTTAGCGTAAGGAGCCAGAATGATTGCAGTATTATAACTGCCGTAAAAAAAAAAAAAAAAATGCCAAAATGTAGTAACTGCCTTTTAGTGTAGGTGCCACAATATTCACAGTGTTACAACTGCTCTTTTTTGATGTATAAAGCCACACTATTCACAGCGATGCCACAGAGCCACGGAATACACAAAAATATAACAGACTTTGATATATAATACCGCAATGTTCGCAGTGTTATATCTGCCTTTTGGCATATGGTGCCACCAATGCTCGCAAAGTTGTGTCTGCCTTTTAAAGAAAAACGGCACTATGTTCACAAAATTCACAGTATTATAACTGCCTTTTGGTATAAAGTGCCATGGTACAATATTCACAGTATGATAGCTGCCTTTTGGTACAAGGTGCCACAGTTTGCGCAGTGTTATAACTGCCCTTCAATATAAAGTGCCACTAAATTCACAGTGTTATAACTGCCTTTTAGTAAAATAGTGCCTCTATAGGGACAATGTTGTAACTGGCAATTTGGCTTGGCATGCCCCAATATTCACAGCATATGGAGTTTAAAAATGCCAAAAATTATTCACAATATTAGAACTTCCTGCTGGCATCAGCGCATACAATGTCACAGTGTCCCTTTTTAAAAAAAAAAGAAAAGAAAAGCAAGTTCACTTAAGTAGTCCGTTTAGATATCAAACCGTCTGGTACCGTACTGCAGAGTCAATCCTCTAGGTAAGTATCAGCCGAGAAAGGTAGGAATCAGCCTTCTAGGGCTCCGTATGAACTCCATATAAACGAGGCAACAATGGAGCCTCTTAACTAAGCGTCTCGCCGTCTCGCCATCACTTCCCGCCAGTCTCCCCGATCCGGTCCCAGCTCCTCCCCTCCCGACGTGCGTCACGTCACGTCATCACATCCCCTTAACCAATCATCTTTTTTTAATAAGTTTTATTGAGCATCTTTGTTAATTACATACATTTTTAGAACCAGTGTATATACAATAATCAATTGGCATACATAGTTTTCTATTAAGACACGGCATCTAAGAGATCACTTTATTCTGACCAATTGCGTGAGA